CACCTGTCTTTTATCGTGTAATGTCTACCATTGAAAACACTGGGAAATGAGTGTTATCAAAACAAACCATTCCCAGGGAAAACATAGAAAGAAGGCACTGTTTCCCATCATAACCACACAGTTGCTGGGCCAGAGAGCCTCTCAGAATGTGATTAAGTATTGGAAAGGATGAACACAGTGCCTGCCACATATAGGATAATCTATCACATTAGCTCCTTTCCTACTCTCTTCCCAAGAGGTACCAACAATGCACCAATAACCAACAAACCCCGAAACAGAAAAACTAAGTTGAAATGATTGAGACCCAACTATGACCATGACCTCAACTGAACTGGACTCTTTGCTTTTGACCTGCATGTGGCCCACCAGCCTGGAAAGCCTCCTAGACTGTGCAGTTGACCCTGGCAGGAAGTCTGCTGTCACAATGTCACCAGCTGTCCTTTCTCCTCATTGTGTGTGTGTGTGTGTGTGTGTGTGTGGTGGTGAGTATGACAAGGTAGGATCAACCAGCAGCCTAGGTTGCAGAAACTATCTTTTCTCTCCTTCTGTTCCCTCCCCCTCTCACCCCCCCACCTCTCCCCCAACACACACCATTCTTGTTTGGACATGCACTGAGTATGGCATTTAGGATTCCTGCAATCTCTCTCTTTAGCATTTGGATTGGCTGTTTGCCAGGGCAACTAAGTAGCATGTTCAAAAAGCATGTGAGTTTAGGGAAATTCTCTTATCTTCTCCAGTAATATTAACTCCCTGCACATTAGACTAGCCAAAGATCACCCCCCCACCTTGGAAAGAAGAGAGAAGTGCTCCCAGGGCTACCAAATGGAAGTCCCTACAAGACACCACATAGCATTGTCATTTTCAAGGAAAAAAAAATGCCAAGGTGTGGCTGCTACTTTTGGGAAATTTGAGAAGTGACTTGTAGGTTGCATTTCTGATGTGAAAATCAATGTGTGTTCCTTGTAAGCAACTGTTTGATGTGTGGCATCACAGTCACGGGTGTGCAAAGCATCTGGTTTTAACCAGAATGTGAGTGACTTGCTCAGCATGCAGGAAGGCAAGTAAATACATACGGCTTTGCCTCCTGGTCTTGTATCTGGCCCAGACATGCAAATTCCTGTCTGCAAATCTACTCCTCTCTGGCCAGAAGCTGAATGGTTAAATGTCACAGGTGGGCCTCTGCTACACGGCGATAGGTAAGGTCAGCAGCAAGCTGCCAGAGAAGGCAGCCCCGTCTGTCTGTCTGACGGGCAGGTGACTTGGTCCGCCAGTCAGGGGAGGGGACAGACTGTGGTTCATGGACGGTACTGGAGGTGCAGAGAACAGAACCAGAACCAGAACAGGGAAAAGGAGGCGACAGCTACCCTTGGCAGAACACTTCCTCTGTGCCAGGCGATTAGACCAGGTCTGGGTGTGTCCTCTCATTTGATCCCAGCAAGAGCCCCTTTATACAGGAAGGGAGTATGCAGCCAGGAGGAAAGACAGATCGAAACCAGGAACTAGAAATGACACAAGTACCAAAGCACCCAGAAGACGAAGCAGTTGGTCAGGGTCAGTTGCCAAGGAAAATTCCAGAACTTGAGTTCTTTATGGGCAGGGCGATTGAGATTAAGGATTCACACCTGAGCTACTCCAGCCTTTCAGCTGACTCCCTTAACAGGCCGCTCTGCCTGTTGCAGCTGAAGGTAAAGGGCAAGGGCACAGAACTGGATTGGCAAGGACTGGGACCAGAAGAGGGCTGGATATGGTGCCTGGAAGAGTACCTTAATGGCCACATCCCACATAACTGCAACGGTGAGAGAAGAGGATCAGTGAGTTGGGATAGAAAAACCGGCACATGAATTTGAGCTCTGCTTATACTTCTATAATCAATATCAATCATTTCGGGTCTTCGGAATGAAGATGACCCGCAACGTTAAAACCTGTTAATAAGTGCAAATATGCTGGAATTGCATTAGTAGTGACTTCTGCTTAAGCACACTGACAGCTGCCACGAAAGCCAGGCTGCTACTGAGAGTAGCACATGATAGAAATCCCAAGGGAACCCCGATGCATGACTTGTCCACAGAGTGCTTCTCCACACACAAGATTAGCCGGATGTGCCAAAACCATCCTTGGCTCTGATCAGCAGTTAGGGAACAAATGCCATTGCATTACAGCATCCTGCCACTAGGGTGTGCAACTCCCACACGCATGAAAAGCAAGCATCCCTCGCCAGACTGCTGTGCCTACAAGCAGAGAAGTCCAAGTGCATGGAAAGAGTTAGATCCTGCTTGGTCCTTTGAAGGGGTTGGAAAACATTTTAATGATGACATACATCAGAGCGATGCATGCACACTCACGGGGCTGGGAACCGAAGTCAGAGGGGCCAACCTACAGTCGCAAACAGTGACAACACAGTGGCATTCCCAGCTGTGTTAAATGACCAGCATATCATGATTGCTTTTTCACGCAAATATCAATGACATAATCCTAGCAGGCTGGCAGCCCTCTCGCTGGCGTAAAGAAACAATGACCCAATTCTTTGCAAGGGCCGCCACAGCAGATGTGATGACTGGGTATGTTGCGCGGGGCAGTGTGTGTGATGGACGGGGCACAGTAGGGCAGCAAACTGTGCACTGAGGACTGGAAACCTGGCTCCCGAGCCAAAACTCCTGCCATTCATCTGGTCGGAAAAAAAAAAATAGAGCCATTCAGTATGAAAGTTCCCACTTGTTCTCATGACGGAGGCCAGTGGGGAAAATGTGGCTCAGCGCTGATTGAAGCAAATTCTGTTTAAAAACCCAGCCGGTTTGTGGGTATTTGTTTATTTATAACTCCCCCCTCCCCCCGCTCTGCCTCCCCACACCCTGCCTCATTCTGCAAAGGATTTGAGATGGGATTTGAACACTGAAAGTTTGTTTAAGTCCTAAACAGGTCCAGCTACTCTGTAGATTGACCACAAAATGAAACCGCTCAGACTCAGCAACTGGCTGTCTAGAACATGGTTTTGCTTTTCCCAGTCCAGGGTAGTCCTCCTCGCCCCTGTGGTGAGAGGGGCCTCTTGTACCAGAACACCCTTGGCCCCTAGTGCTACACTTTACCAGGGAGATACACAGGAGCCCAAAAGCCTGGAGCGCCCTAAGATTAAGGGACTTTGATGCACTTGGACGCCCTCCCTCCCCTACCTCCTCCCTTGTCATTCACTCAACAAACAGTGATCGGTACCTATGCTGGAACGAGCTCTGTGCCAGGCACAGGGAAAGCAAAACTGAACAGCCTGGCTCCCTGCTTGAAGAGCTTTCAGCACAGTGGCAAGAACAGACAAGGGGAGGAGCCCCGCCCCCAAACCATGCTGTGACCCTGACCGGTGCTGAGGTGGAAGCACCCCAGGGGGTGGCGAGGGGACTTCAGATGACCAAAGAATTTGGTTCACAGGCTCAGACTCAGACCACCTTGGCTTCTGCTTTGGCGTCTATGTCTCCCTAGCAGTGCGATTGTGGGCACTTTGCTTAACATCTCAGAGCCTCAATCCCCTCATCTGTTAAATGGGGCTAATTTTAGAATTGACGTCATTGAGTTATTAAGTGAAAGAATCTGTGTAGAACTCTTCCTGGCACATAGGAAGCGCCCAATAAAAAGTCAGCTTTTTGTGCTTTCTATTCCTTTTGTTTAATTTCATAAAGCTGTGTCTGGTGATGAGACTCCAAGGATTGGTTTCTAAAACAGAACTGTTCTCAACAAACGCCTCCCTTTTAGCCTGATTTTTTTCCTCTCCTATGGAATGACACAGATCTGCCATGATTTTTCCCTCAGCAACCATATGTCTGGCAAGAAGTACAGGGAGGAAAATATTTCCCAGCTGGTTTTGCTTATGTCAGCCTACTATGTGCCATCCGGCGCTTCAGATTAGAGGGACACATTGCTTAACAACGCAGATGAGGTCCCTGTCCTCCTGGAGCCTGCATTTGCACCGGGAGAGACACGCCATAAGCACACAATCATGAAGAGACATAGTCACTCAGGGCAGTGAGTGCAATGGAGGAAACACTGCCCACAAACAGAATAACGGCGGGGGGGGGGGGGGGCAAACAACAACCTGTAGGTGGCCCAGGAAAGTTCATCTCAGGAGACAACATTGACACTGAGATGGAAAGATTAAGGAGAGGCTTCCTGTGCCAAAAGTAAGAGCAAAGGCAATTCAGGCAGAAGGAGCAGCACACACAAAGGCCCTGGGGCAGGAAAAAGACTTTGAGAATATTCTAGAAATTGAAAGACCGGTATGGCCGAGACATACATCCTTGGTAGGCAAGAAAAGCAGGCAAGATTGTCGCATGCCTACTGAAGCTGAGGAAATTAGAAAGCCCAGAGAGTCACAGACTTACCCACAATGCCTTACACACAGTAGGTGCTCCATATGTTGTATGCTCAGCCAGCAGGGTGGGGCTGAGGTCCTTTGCCTTCCAAATTCGGACTGAGATTTCCCACCACAACTAGGAGTCAGCTACCCAGGGAGACTGAAACATAGAGTCTTTTTGGTTGGTGAGTCACAGGCAACGTGCATTAGAGTGTGGGGTCCAGCGGCCCCAGCTGCTGCCTGTGTGTAAGGGGCGGGGGTGGGCTCAGGCCGTGGCTCAGGCTTTTTAGCATGTTTATGATGAGCTGAGCGCACTCACTGCTTAATTTAAAATACTGCTCACCCGTACACATACAATTCAGCAGCTGGGGGAGCTGCCAGGAATAACACCAAGAAATAACCAGGATGGGAGGTTAGGAAACGGTAGTTACCTTTTTTTTTTTCCCCGAGATCCCCAAAAGCTGTGCCGGGATCTCATACGGGCTTCCTTTTCCTAAAAAAAGTGCGCACTTCCAACCCCCGAATTACCCCATTAGCTTTGGGGGGGGGGGGGGTGGGAGGGATGGGATGGGTTAGGGGATGGAGGAGGGGAAAGGGGGGCCTCGCCAGAGCCACTGGCACCAGACTTGCCCGTAGCCCTACCCGGTTGTCGCCGTAAGCTCACCTGTCTTCCTTGCCCCCTGTGCGTCAAAGTGCAAAGGCACCCTGTAGGAGAAGCCTCTGTTCTGCAGCCCCTGCCAACCCGCCCTCATCTTCCTGTTCCTTGAAATCTGACAGTCAGGAAAACTCCTCTGGCCCCTGATCACAAACTGTCCGGGCTTGGCTGCTGCTCTTTCCGGTGGAGCTTTGTCTCCCCCAGCCACACCCGGGAGCAATTAAGTATCCTTTCGGGTTCCCCCCACGGATCTCAAAGCACAGCCGTAGGGACACCAGGGAGAGTCCCGGTGCACATTTGCTCATGGGTTGCATGACAGTATCAGTTTGAAAAGCTTTTTGGGTGGAGCGTCTGATCGTTACTTGGAAAACAAGAAGTTCAACTTGACAAAAATGTGGAAAACCCTCAAGGGTATCCAGTTCCCTTAGCCTCATTCCCCTACCCCCAGAGCCCTCTGCCACCTTTCACTCAAAGTGCCCCACAAGTCATCTCTTTGCTCATAGCACCCCCTTCTAACTGAGGAGTGCTGTCTCCCCACTCTACCTGGCAAAACGCCCATCAAAATGCCACGTGTGCCATGAAGCCTGACTAGGCACAACCCATTGCTTTTGCCCCCTGAGCCCTTATGGCACCCCGGGTCTGCCTCCTCCATGTGATAGGCTGGTGGGCTGCAATAAGCCCCTTTCCAAGCCCACTTCCACTGGTCCCCAGAGGCGACCTCAGTCATCTCTTGTGGAAAAGTGGATAGCAACAACTAGCCTCGGTGGGATGCTGGGAGTTGCCCATGAGACAATCTCTTGCAGTACCCTCAGCACAAGACTGGGCTTCCAGGGCTCAGGGGGAGTTACCTGCCAACAGGGTCGGCAATGTCTCTGGGAAGCAGGGGAACGCACCGGTTCTGAGCCGGGACTCGGGAACCAGATGCATGCAGGTTGCCGACATGGCTTGGTCACTTCCTAACTATGTGACCTTGGGCCACTCACTTCCTCTCTGAGGTCCAGTTTCCTGGTATACACAATGAGGTTATGAGCGTTTCCCTCTGCCCATCACAGAATCTGTAGGGAAAGCTCAGAGGCATCAGACACACAAGGTAAACTACTCAGTAGCAGGCTTATCACAGGAAAAACAGAAAGTGCCCTGTCGAGGTCTACACACCCTACAACCTAGTAAACTCCTTTCCGGGCACAGACACTGTGTGACTTAGCTTCGCATCTCCCGCTGCCTAGTCTAGCCCAGGACCTCTGCAGCTGGCAGGCCTACAATAAATCATTGTTGAATTGAATTGAAAACCCAAACCAGATGTGTGCCTCCTCCTCTGTCAAATGAAGCTTTCAAGCTGGTGGGTTGGGCCTACCGCCTCTTCGCTCCCCCTCCCTCCACGCTGAGCGGCCGCCATTGTCTAGGCCTGGCTCTGGGGAATATGACAGGGTGCTGGGAGTCGGTGGGGGCGGGGCGGGGGGATAGGTAGATGAGTGGGCTAGGGAAGAGCACTCTTTGTGTTCCTGGTAACCTCAAGCAAATTGCCTTTGAAAGACGTGATCCCAAAGGCGCTGGTGCCTGAATGGAGGTGACATGCCAAAAGCCCTTCCTTCTTCACTTCCCCACCCCAGCGCCTAGGCACAGGGGAAGCCCCGAACACTGAACACCGGAAGTTAAAGGAGAGCACTAGAAGAAAGCTCTCTTCTCCTTTATCGAGGATGCTGATTTGGAGGTTCAGCTCGGAAAGCATCAGGCCAGGATTCGAACTCAGGGGCTGTACGGCCAAGAGCAAATCACGGGGCACCCCTGCTTCTAGGCAGCTCTTGCTAGACACGGGCAGAGGTCTGGATGTGACCCTCCCTCTTCTCCAGCCCGCATGATGCCTGGGAGCAAAACATAGCAAATACTCCCCAGACAACATATCCGTTAGAAAATTACAAAAGCGAGGTCCATGTCGTCAGCGTTTCTTGGCCAGAGCTGTGTAGACACCAGAACACAACCACCAGATTACAACTCTGGCTCCACCATATGCTAGCCTGCCTGCCGCTGAGTAACTCACCGACCCTTTCCTGTGCCTCCACCTTCCTGTGCAACTGTTGCCTGCTATTAACGCTAGAACCTCCTCGCAGGGTTGTCTGCGAGAATTAAATGACCTTATGTTTGCAAAGCATGTATCCTGTGCCTGATGCATGCTAAACACCAAGTACCTGTTACATAAAGTACACATCAACCTCTCTCCCACCACAGCCAGACTAGCCTAGAGGCAGGGCTGGCAAGTGGTTAGAGCTTGCCTGAGGAGCCAGCTGAACTTGGATTTGAATCCCACGCTCATGACTGGAAGTGACCCTTTCGAAACGTCAATTTCAGCATCTCCAACAGAAGAGTCATCCTCTGAACCTTGGAGAGCACTGCTGCTTCCCCCTCCCCCCCACCCCGGCTTCTTCTGGGCTAAGTTATCACACAAGGTATAGTTTTGGCAATTCTGCCACAGTAAAAGAACAATTTCAGCGTTTTGCCAATGTAATTCCTAAACATTGGATTCTGGAGCCAGAGAACGGAAACATTTTTTGGTCACTGTGGAACCAACCAAGCCCAGGCGATCAGTTTCCCCACTCAGCAAACCTGACTGCCTCTCGCCCCTTCCCCCACGCAGCAGAAGTCACTGTACAGGACGAAATGGAAGGAAGGAGTATTTTACTGCAAACAAAAGCCATCTTTGTTTGCTGCCCAGCTTTAGGAGAGAGAGAGAGAGAAAAAAAAAAAAACACCTCAATCCAGGAGTTTGGAAAATTCTTGAAAGTTCTCATTTTATTCCAGCAAATCTAACCAAATTGGCCAGATGCCTGGCCGTGTGAACCTGAGTCAGAAGGACCCGCCTCTGCCCATCCCTGTGCCCACAGCACCCAGAACCCAGCAGGGTACACTGGGCATCAATACACACTGGCTGTCGATTCCTCCCAGGGAGCCCCACATTGCACTTCCACAGCGTCTGCTACGTTGCCAAAACATTCGGAAAGCAGCACGAAAGAACATTTTGCAAACAGGGGGAAAAAAAGCATCCATCAACTCACCACTCTAACACAACTCTTAATTTTGTGTGGAAAGTTCTCTTCCAGTCTTTCTCCACGTGCAGACATTTTTTACAGCACTGTAGTCATAGGGAAAAACTGCAGCAGCTTCGGCCAAGAACCAGATACCATACAGCTCATGTCACTAAACTTTCCAAGGGAGGACTTTTCCTTCCCTCTTTCACCCCATTCATGCCGTCAGTCAGTCATTCAACAAACACGGATGTGAGCAAGTGCTCCTGCCATGCCCTGCAGAAGATGGAGATGACTAAGGAAGCGTCCCCTGCCCTCAAGCAGCTCCCTGTTGAAGGGGGCGGCGGGGGGGGGGGAACCAGATGAATTAGTGGGAAACTGGAATCCACGCCCTCATGCTGTGGAAGCGCCAAAGCACAGAAGAGGGAGTGGGATACTGCCACAGGCATGGAGCCCCAGGAAAGCAAGGTGTCATCCCCCAGCCCAAAGCTTGTGGCATGGAGCTGGATCACAGACAGGGAGCGGTGCATGCAGTGAGGAAGGGAGGAGGGGCCAACTCAGGACCACCCCCCCCCACCAAGAGCTCTCTCTTTCATTCTGAACACTGAGCAGGGGCGCAGCAGGGGGAGGGGTGAGCATTCTCAGAAGACTGCCCCAGGAACGGAAGGGAAGGTAGAGTGGAGGGCAGGAGGCAGGCACAGGGAGACCCCTCAGCACTGTGTCGCAGGAAGCCATGTAGAGCAAAAAGGCTGTCTACAGGAGGAGATGGCTTCTCCACTGACAACCTCTGTCCACTTAGGGCGTGACGCAACCTCGCCATGCCTCGGTCTCCTCCTATGGTAAAGAATAGATCACTCCTGGGCCTTTTGGCAAAGCACAAGTGTGAAACAAAGCGATAGTGGCATGTCTTGCAGCACTGCTGGGAAGGGGTAAGGAGCTGGTGCATGCAAAGCACCTGGCACAGAGGCTGCTACCCAGAAGACCCTCCGCTCGTTCAACCGTGTAACTGCCCCTTCCCCTCAGCCCGGCTCCGCCTCACCCTTCCTTAAAGGCCGGCATGCTATGGAGCGGGGAAGTGGCCGAGGCAGCACTCTAAGCCAGACAGTCTGCCTGCACAGGGTGGTGGAGCAAGGCTTGCCGGGGCTGTCGTCAGGACAGTCCCTGGGGGATGGTTTGGCCGAGCCGAGGGCCCCACTGAGGTTGGAAACTTTGACTTTCCAGTGGGACTAATCAACAAAGTGATGGGATTGTCTCCAGCACTGTGCCTCCATCTGGGTGTAAGCGCAGAGGAGGAGCCCGAGTTAAATTTATCCAGACTTGGCATCGTGCCTCCTGGATGTGGCAGCAAGACACAGGGCAGGGGAGTTGGGGATCCGGGCAAGATCCCGAGGCCTGTGTTCCACGAGTTGGGCAAACTGGCCTGGCTTCAAGCCCCATCTCTTCCTGCTACTAGCTGTGGGACTCTGGGAAAGTCACTCAGCCTCTCTGATCCTCAGTCCCCGCACTTCAATCAAAGACAAGTTACCTGCCGCACAGAGTTCACTGTGAGGAGGGCATGCCATTATGGAAATGCTGCCAATTGTGTGGCCCTTAGTATGTGCTGGGCACATACGTGGTCACTGATATTCTTCTCCTCGTCAGCATTTGCAAGGATGAAGAGGGAAGGAAGGAAGGTGCGAGGAGCCCATGGGGTGGGGCAGTGGATGGAAGGGAAGATTCTCTCCAGGTACGGAGAGGGACACTGGGGTCAGCAGGAAGGGTGCAGGTGGCGGCGGGGGTGGGGAGGGGGGAGGTTCTGCCTGATGATGAAGCATTGAAGCATGGCAAGGCTGGGTCGGGGCTGTGTCCTGCACATGGATCATGGATGGCGAACTCACCCAGAATGATGTCAGGACTTGGGGTGGAGAAGAAGACAGTGAGCCAGATGTCGAACTCTTCGTTGCATGTGGGGGTGGGGAGGGTTGGCCAGGAGGGGTGATTAAAAAAGAAGAGTCGAGGTGGAGAGGAGAGGGTGCTGTGGCCAGATGGCATGAGGAGGAGGAGTTGTTGGCCGAGGACGGAGGACTAACGATCTGGAAGCCGGCAGGGGAAGCTAGAGCACAGACCCCACCTCCCAGCCCTAGGGGGGCTGTGCTGTGCGGAGCGTGGACAGTGTCCACCAGAGGGCGCTGCGGGCCAAGCCGTGAGCGCCTCCTGGGAGACTCAGGTTTCAGCGTTTCCAGGCGCGGAGGTAAGTCAACAGTGTTCAGCGAAGAACTTCACCCAGAGTGTAGGGGGAATGGTTTACCCTATGGTGGGGCCCCCACAGGGTGCTGCTAAGGATGCAAGAGGGCGCTCGTGGAGGGATGCAAAAGTCGGGGCTGGTGGGGATGGACACAGAGAACGATATAGGGATGGGATAGGAGAGGACGGATGAAAAGACAGCCAGGCTTCACGGTTGGGTTGTGGCCAAGGACAGGGGGATGTGAGGCCTGGTGGGATTAACTGTCCTCGGAGTTACAAATGGAGCTTTTTTTCCCCTTTACATCTTTTGTTTATTATAAAAGTAGCACATGCTTGTTTCAAGCATCTCTAATCACCACTGAAGGCAAACCCTCCTCCCGCGTCTCATTCCCCCGGAAGGAGCCGCTGTTGATTGCTTTGGTTGCTATGTGTAACACACAATACCCGCAATCCAAATCACAGCCCACTGAAGGGACTCTTGCAGCTTGCTTTCATCACAGTCCTGTCGGGGAGATATCATTGTCCTTATCTGTGCTACGCTGTTATTGTCATCCTTATAGTAGGAGTAGGAATGATTCCAGGTGGCAATTACTGAATATGCTGTTCCAGGGATCAGCTCACTAATTCATATGGATTACCTCATTTACAGTTCAGAATGTCATGAAGGAGGTATTATTTACGGCACAGAGAGGTTCAGAAACTTGGTCAAGGTCACACAGCTCATAAAGGTTGCTGGAGAAAGTCAAAGCTAGGGAGTCTGAGCACAGAGCCCACATTTGTAATCATTAGCATAGTAAAGCTTAGTGTGTGGCTGTTTGGATGTATCAGACATGTTTGAATTAGTCCTTGCCTGAAGTCATTTAGGTTATTTCCAATGTGTGGCTAGCTTCAACTGAGCGTTTAAAGGGATCTTCTACATGGCGCATTTTGAAAGGGTAAACTCCTAAGAGAGGACTCGCAGGATCAAACGACATTTCCAGTTGCTCCCCAGAAGTTGTGCTCATTTAGATGTGCATCAAGGGTGAATGAGTAAGCCTGTTTTGCCATGTCCTCACAAAACTCGGGTTTTAGTGACCTTTTTCATTTTTCCCAATCTGAGAGGTGAAAATGACATCTCAGGGCTGTTTAATTGGCATCTCTTAGTTATCACTGATTTGTGCCCCTTTTTAGATGGCATAGTCCCTGTGAATTTCCTGCTCATTAATCTTTGAGCATTTTCCCAGTAGATTGTTCGTCATCTCGTTGCTGTTCTATCAGAGCTCGCTCGCTAATTTCCTCAAGTATTCATCGAGCACCTACTGTGCACCAGGCACTGTTCTAGGAATGCAGTGGTGAATATGCAAACCCTCAGCCTTCGTGAAGCTGACATGTAAGAAGAAGCAATAGATCATGAATGAGCAGATAGCTGACCAATGTAATCACAGACCTCTAGAACGGCTATAAAGAAAACATTGCACTTATCATGGAGCTGTTGGTACACGATGAACAATACAGCAATGATGGTTTGAGTGATGATTTTGCAACTTTAAGATGGTGCAAAAGGGATACACATTCAGTAGCAACTGTACATTGAAGTTTGAATTTTGGCTTTTTCCTGGGCTGGTGATATCTCTTATAATGCTGGCCAGTGGCAGCCAACCGCAGCTCCCAGAGAGCCACATAGTCACGAGAAGAAACCCCCAAGACTCTGCAGGGTGCCGTGTTGCTAAGCTAAGGTGGTCAGTAGATTCAGTGTATGAAATGCATTTTCCATGGAGCATAGTTTCAATGTACAGCGGATGTATCAGGATGTGGGTCCACCACATATGCAGAAGCCTTATCAACCTTTATCTGAGTTCTACATTGTAACTTTATGCTGGTTTGCCTTTTGTCTTTCAACTTCACATTAGATACATTTCGCCATACTGAAGTACTCGAATGGTCGCCTAGCCCTGTGTATCCGTCCTTTTTCTATGCAGCTCCTCCAGTTTCTTGCTTTGCAGAGACGCTCTACCTCAATATTTTAAAGATATTCTCCTGTGCATTCTTGTAGCTTTTTAATGGTTTCTCTCTTTAACATCTAAATATTTGACTTAGCTGGAGTGTATTTTTGGAATAAGGAGTAGATACAGACTCTGCTATATTATTATTAATTTTTTTTTTTTTTGCACAGGAGACCAGTTGTCACAGTAACCGCACTGTGTAGTGAAGGGTACATCCTCCCCCACACACACACCTGGGAATGGTGAAGCTGACACCCAGAGAAGGGGAAATTGTGCCCCAGAGTTAGGTAGCAAATTAGTGCTGCCCAAACTGCTCTAGATTCTGAGGTTGCTGGCTGCTATGGTGGCAGTACACAACTGAGCTTATCACAACTCCATCCCTTGACGCACTTGACTTTGCCTTGGCGGGCCCATGCCAAGGCTCACTATCTTATAGCAACAGGATCTTCCCTTTCCAATAAACCCCTTGACCTTTTGTGCTCAGAGATGGGAGTGTGGCGACCCCCGGAAGCTTGGGCCAATACCTCCGGATCTCTATTGAAATACTTTACATTGAGGCGGCTTTGGCCAAAGAGGGCTGGGGGCAGAGGGCAGAGAGAGTTTGCCCTTTGATAACCAAAATAGGAAGTGTTCAGCTAAATAAAGAAATGTGGCATGGTTTCCATTCAGTTGCTATCAGAGCAGCTGCCCTCCTGAGAGCCTTCCGAGGGGGTGGGGGGGAGCAGCCTCAAATTATCCCAAAGCCATAAGCCACTGGCACGGAGGCTGCCGGGACTTGTCTCCAGGCCCCAACTGCATCAGAGCTAGGACCCAAACGGGGTCTTGAAAAGACAAGGACTGGCACCACCTCCAGGGCATGTTGTCCTTTTTTTCAAAAAAAAATTTTTAATTTTTTTTACTTGACAGAGTTATAGACAGTGAGAAGGAGAGAGACAGAGAGAAAGGTCTTCCTTCCATTGGTTCATCCCCGAAATGGCCACTACGGCTGGCGCTGCGCCGATCCGAAGCCAGGAGCCAGGTCTTCCTCCTGGTCTCCCATGGGGTCCAGGGCCCAGGCACTTGGGCCATCCTCCACTGCACTCCCGGGCCACAGCAGAGAGCTGGACTGGAAGAGGGGCAACCGGGACCAGAACCCAGCGCCCATGTGGGATACCAGCGCCACAGGAGGAGGATTAACCAAGTGAGCCATGGCGCCGGCCCGGCATGTTGTCCTTTGCTGTGTCCTTGGCAGGCCTTCTCCTCCCTCCACATCTCCTGAGCTGTGGACACTCCACACCCCCCGGAGGCAGGCATCAGAATGTCTGGGGACAAAGAAAAATGAAGTGGGAGCTGAAGTTACTCAGCCTACTGGAGAAGACACTTTAAAAAAAAAATCTCCAATTTTCCCTCCATTACCAGGAGATTTTTTTTTTCGGTCAAAGTGTTAGAACAAAATAGGTGGATAATTGCCTCCATTTTTTCACTTGACTTTCCATGGGTGGACATAGCTGAAGACACCAGAGAATTCTTGTTAGACTCACCTTGGTGAGTATTTTGTTGCTTCTCTCCCAAACCGACAAAGTAAATTTACTGCTTATAATAAGGTAGAACAACCTTTTAACATTGCCTGTGTCCCCTACCTACGGGCAGAGTGGGCAGTGGCTTTCTACAGGAAAATGCAAGGTCCTTCCTCCCACACTAATGATGTTAGATTGTCCCATCACCAAGACTGTGGGAAGATATCTGGGTCCTAGTTCCGCAAAGCGATATACACATCACTGAGGGAGGGAGAAAGGAGGCAAGAGAGTGGCAAAACAGCAGGAGCCACAACAGAGAAATGAGGCAGGCAGCCAGAGGCACTGCTGGGCGCCAGGGAGAGCATGGGCGAATCCCAGGGCCCATCCCTGAGGCTCGTTTTCCCAGACAGCCCTTATCTTGGCTCAGAGAAAACAGTGCAGAGACATACATTGAAGCTGGGAGGCAGCCCACCTTTGAGTTAGCCAGGTCTTAGGGCTCCTGGCCTTCACACCAGCAAGTGAGGGTGTGAACACATCTCCCCACCACTGGCAGGCCATCTGGCCTCAGTCTTTTGGTCCTAGCGTACCTTGAGACAAGAGGGACCAGAAGAAGTTCTGGTCTTGACGTCTTCTGGGGAAGCTGTGAACTAGGGCTGATCTTCTGCTAACAGGGACCCTGCCCTCTTTGGGCCAGCAGGAACCCCTACCTCCTGCTAACTGTGCATACCCGCACTGTGCCAGCATAGATCCCTAACTCTGGCTCTGTGCTTGAGTCCACATACCTTACCCCTTTGCCTACTATCTATTAAGTACCTCCTCCAACCTGACACTTGGGTAATTAAGCCACATGGTGGTTAAGACTAATAAAGGGCCGGCGCCGCGGCTCAATAGGCTAATCCTCCACCTTGCAGCGCCGGCACACCGGGTTCTAGTCCCGGTCGGGGCGCCAGATTCTGCCCTGGTCACTCCTCTTCCAGGCCAGCTCTCTGCTGTGGCCCGGGAGGGCAGTGGAGGATGGCCCAAGTGCTTGGGCCCTGCAC